CATTCCTGCCTTTCCACACCACCACCCAGGAGGAGCAAAGCAGAGCTAGCCAAAGGACTGCCTTATGATTTGGTATGTTCTTTTCCTCTAGAAAGAAGGGATGAATTTCCAGTTCAGTTAGAGAGCTAAACTGAACCATATCACCTGGCTACAGAGTACACATCACTGTGCATATCACCTTCAGGACAGATTTTTAGAAATGGAGATGGCACATATACTGGACAGGTAAGCCAAACTGCTTGGTTTGATGTAAACTAAGATTTGGTTTAAAATTTTGTGGGATGCCTTTTTTTGTATTTCTGTTGTTCAGTGCTGCAAATGATGCCTTAGCAAGGGTAATCATCAGCTTCTCCATCTGCCTGCTGCAGACCAGCAGGAAAGAATGAGAGGAGATAGAAAGCCTATCATGCCCTGTGGGGAGAGGGGGAAGAGGGGGAGAAGAGGGAATTAAGGATACAGAAGGATTTAGGAGTAGACTAAAAACTAGAGGGGTCTGGAAGAAAGTGATAAACCAGTGAAGGAATTAAGCGGTGCTCTGTGAGCTTTTTGTGGCTAGTAAGCGCATAAGAAATGGCTGGGGAAGAGGAGCTGAGGAGGACTGCAGTACTGCCTCTCTTCTCTCCACTTTCTTTTATATCCCTTGTGGTCCATGTCACCTGCCCATGACTCTGGCACACTTTCCTTTTGAGATCCTCAACTCCAGCAGGAAGAGTCTGGTGCACTTAGCAGTTGGTACTTGTACCTGTGTATGGCACGAAGAGAAGCATTATCAACATAGAAGAGCCTTGCTTTCGGTGCTCCTCACAGCCAGCTGGTAGGAGAAACCTTACTTGGATTCCACAAGGCAGGAGATATTAGTGCTGCTCTTCAGTGGCCGAAGTGGCCTAATTTTACAGATGGAGCCTCACTGGAAAGCTCCACTCTTTTATGTCTTCACACATAAAGAAACTTGAAAACAAACCAAATGTTAACAGAATTCATTTAGGTGGAATTCTGTTGTAATGGAATTCTTTAAAAGAACTCTATTCTGTAAACATTCTCAAGAATGACTACAACTGGGGGATTAATCTTTCTGATTTCTTTCCATGTTACCTGGAAGTACTTTAGATCTGCTAAACTGGTAAATCTAAATAGTGTAAATCTACCACTGCAATACAATATCTAATATCTAAGAGTTAGTAAAGCTGTGGAAAGCTCTTCCCAAGGAGATATTCTTGTTTCAGTCATCTTAAAATAGACTGTATAAAACATAGGACATCATACTGAACAAAGGAAGACAGCATGGATGATCTAACAAGGTTTTCTCACTTTCATGGTTGTGTGACTCTCTTAAATTCCAAGTTTAAATGGTAATTGTGTCTGATTCTTCCTACATCACGAAAATGGTGTTAATAAGCAGACAGTGGAATCCACTGGGGCAATCACCCTTAAATACATTATTTTAAGAAAGGAAAAGGAGCTGCAGCTCTGCTAAAAAGTTTTTTCCTACAGTATATCACATCCCCCATGACACATCATTACTGCTATTTCAATCTCTGCATAAGAATGATTTTCTGTGAACTCGAGCATGCTTATCAGAACTGCATGATGACAAGAGCTTCACTCCAGCAAATTAATGAAGTTCATGCCCAGTGCTAGGCACCCAAAGTCTCACTGACTTCAATGGGACTCAACTTAATTGCTCCACTGGATTACGAGAGATAGTGTTGTCAGATCAGAAGATTGGAAGACACTGGATAATACAAATACTAATACTAATACTAATAATAATTTGCCTTTTTGTTCCCCAAGAACAAGGGAATAACATGTCTACTGATTCATGTCTTTATAAAATTAAGTTTAGGTTAAGGATTTGGCCAACAGATATTGTAAAAAAATTTCAATTCTTTGGCTGCTAGTATCTTTCTAGAATAAAGAGAGACTAAGAGTCTTAAGAAATGTGATGGCTATTTCTAACATGAATAGACATAAAAAAGAGAAAGCTCACTGCTTTCCTTCTCTGAGCATACCTTTAACAACCTGTAGGAAACAATCAGGAAGCAACAGAAAAAAAAATGCTAAAACCAGTCCACTTACAATTGAGGGGTTTTCCAGGATTGGAGTAGGTGGCCGAGGAACAGGCTTTTCTATTTTTTCAAGGAAACGGAGGGGCTTCTTTGGCTCCTTGACTTTATTCTTCCTCTCCAGCAGTGCCTGGAACAGACACAGAATTTAATCAGAACTGGGCTAGACAGAACAACACCATAAGGCCAGTCCTCTAGATGCTGACTGTTGCTGGCTACAGGGAGCTGAAAGTATTTTGCACTTTGCAGGCTTGTGGCTTCTGTTTCTTACTGCACATCAACTGAAAAACTGAATATGGTCAGTAGATGAGGCTATAGGTTGGTCAGAAGATACTGATGGGAACTTCAAAATCATATGTAAGAAGGAAGCGAGAGTTATCTTACTATATTTGCCAGTAAGTCATCAGCAACTGCATAGGGTGAGTCACCTAAATTTAATCTAAAATTGGAACAAACTTTATCTCAAATATAATCCATTCTTAAGTAAAAGCATGGGGGTTTTTTTTCATTTTAAAATAGAAATCTCCTTGAACTAATTAAGCACTGACCCATATGCAAGCAGAAGCAGTCGTATGTTTTACTTATGCAATGACAAAAACATTAACTGTTTTACTATGAGACAGAGGCAAGATTCTTTCAAAACATGAAAAATGGGTATGAATATCATAGATTAGTTGCAGTTTACATATCAGTACAGAATGGTTATAGCTTGCCTTTAACTGTAGGTATAATGCTTGTTACTGCAGGTTAGAAATGTTACGTGGTCAGAACATTTTTTGAAGGGAATCACTTGAAAAGTGCATTGTCGCTGTTCTGCGGCCCTTCCTCAATGAAATGTCTTTGTATAATACACTGCTACTGTGCAGAGTTGAACCAAATGACCCAGGACCCCTTCCTTGCCAAATATGTTCTGAAACTCTTCTCTGATCATCTGCAACTGTAGCCAGCAGCCCAGTGGCACCCACAGCCACTGTAGGAGTGGACTAAGGGAGAAAGGGAAACTAACTTGCCTGAGAACGTCTTTCTACCAAGACAACCAACAAGCCCATTAAGAGTGGGTTTTTATCTTGCTTGCAGCTGTTTGGAGGCAGATGCCAAATCTGTCAGCCAAAGCAGGCTAGCAGTGGAAATGTCACCAAAGCCTCAACTCTTTCAAGACTTTTTCAAACTGTTTACAGAGCCAAAGTCCTGTCAATTTGCCATTGCAAGCTAACAAGATATTCAGATAATAATTTCCAACTGCATGGCAATGCTTGCCTGCTGTAGGACATCACACTTCAGCTTGGAAAAAAAAAAAAAGAAAAAAAAAAGAAAAAAATAGAGTGGCTCCTTCAAAATGATGAGCCTACTATTGTATGGGTTGGGTCTGTAGTCGTTATTACTGAAAGAACAGACATATTCCAGCAAGGAAAAGCGTGCCTTTTTATTTTCTCACTTTCTCTCTTTCAAATGTTCAAATACAGTATTTCACTAGGGAAGGAAAGCAAAGAAAAACTTAAGAAAAAACTCCCATGCTGAATGGTTTCCCTTCAGTAAAAGGAAATTGATGGCACTTGCACAGAATTTAATCATGAAATTAATGAAGTTTTGAAATTCCAGTGGTCATTGTACAAAACTCTTCTTGCATATTGGATCTGACTTTTCAGGCCAGGATAATTAATTGCTCCAGAAAAAGAGAGAAATTTCTAGGTGGAGGGGATAAAATGCTTTATTATTGAAAACTTCTGAATTGGACCATGTTAATAATGCAAGAATCAAAGCCTATAAACTGCTTATACGGCATGTGAAATAGATAGAGCTCAAAAATGTTGAGAGATTTTTCTGAACTGTTCCTTGTATGTCATGACCTTAGAGCTCCCTGGCATGAAGACTGTAACAGTACTTGCTATGATTTACAATGTGTTTTGCATGATGGGGGTATGGGACAGACAGACTGAAAGAAGAAAACCTGCTGTGATTCTTTTGAAAACAATGGCTCCTATGTTTATTAGTACAATGTTGCATTCCTAATTTTTTTTTCTAATAAAACCTTAGCCTCCAAAAATGTTTCTTGCTAATCCAGAATAACAAAATACAACCAGAATAACAACTTTTAAAGAAAAAAAAATAAATCTATGAGAACTTGTGACACGAGGGAATTCTTATTAATGTAGATTTGAGAAATACTGCAGTTCCCAGAAGTGCTTTTATGTTTTCATGTTAGCACAGTCTAGTGACTGCTTTGCCATCATTACCAAGTCAAAAATGCTTACCATTTACTTTCTCTAATCTGAGGTTTTAAGTTATTTTAAGACCTCACTGTAAGAAAAGAAAAAGAGTATTTTTTTTTGCATTAACTGGTTCTGTCTAACTTAACAAGTTACCATTTTTCAAAATCAGGACACCAGAGCCCGAGAATCACTGTAAAATACTTTCTCTAAAAATAAAAAAGTGCTAAAGTTCTGAACAACATACTTCAAATGTTACTGCCTACATATCACACTCCAGGTTTTTTGGGGATAGACAACACTACTTTTTTCAGGTAGTACGTTCAGAGTCATGGTATAATCTGGTTGGATTGGACAGTGAAGGACCACCCAATTCAACTCCTTTTAAATTTCCTGGCAAATGCAGTGAACAGCAAATGGCACTTGTGCTTTTGGCCATACACGTTAGCTTCTCTGTTAGCTTCTGACAGAAGCTGAACTCTTGACAAGATAGTGTCTTGAGAAACAATTCTCTGTTCAAAGAAATAATTCTTTAGCTTCCTTCTCTATCTTCTCTGTGATCCTGTCCTTTTCACAAAACACCAGGTATATTTTATTTTCATGTACAGCACATAGTATACAGTCATGTTTTTCCTTCTTCCTTTTTGCCCGTGAATGTAGGTGAGATCATCGACGATGGACTGACTACCTGCTTTGCAATGCTGCATGGCTGCTGCCTCTTGGCTGATCAAGGCTGACATAATAGCTCTTAGAGCTTGTCTGAGCATGAGCCAGCTAATGCTGCATTGGAGATTTGTCCTTAATGAAATAACTGCTTGAACAGGTTTTCCTATGCTTTGAAGTTGGCAGGGATTTTCTCCAGAGATGTTCTTGCCCCCCACTACTTCACCTCCATCCAACAACTGGATAAAGGGAAACAGATGTGATGAGATTTGCACTTCATGCTGAGGTGAGAGGTTCTTTGTTCAGACATCATCTTGATCCAGCGCTTTGAAACCACCTGACACTTCACTCCTCTTGAGTTACCAGAGCATAGAAGGTCAGCCTAAAGTCACATATTGTTCTGCATTGGGATTGCTCCTAGCAGCTCCTCCGCTCCTTGGTGTATTCAGTTACATACTTGCATTTCTTTCCTACAGTAATTAGCTATATCAGTATGCTATCTCCTTAATGCCTTGGATTTTCACACAAGGCTGTCTATATGATGGCTCACTTACATTCCTTAAAGCACTGTCATCTGCGCTAGCTAGGAATTAGCTTTCCTTGTCCTTTTACAGATCTGGTTTAACATACGGATCATTGTTTTTACTTTAAAACCTGGGTGACTCCTGTTTTTGCCATGTTTTCTTGTTTTAGAGAATTATTTAAAGAACACTGAGTGTACATAATACTCCTGCAAAAGGTTTCAGGGTGCTCCTCAAAAAGTCTGCTTCTAAAATCACTTCTTTTTTGCTTACTTTCAAGTCTGGAAGAAGCCGTTCCTATTCTCAAGAGGACACAGATCCTTTTTGTAATTCTTTGGATAATTGCTTGCCTCTTCTTACAAGCTTTATGCTAAGGAAAGCCCTCAATATGGCAAACCAAGAAGAACATAAAGAGGAGTACTAGTCCATCTTGCCACTTGTTTGACCAGAGAAGCAAGACTTGGAAACTTCCTTTATTAAAATTAAATACTTCTGAGACCAAAATCTAGCATTCCTCCTCTGTTTGCCACCTCCTTCCACATATTATTCACGGAAAAAGAAATAAACTCATTTTAGAGCTAGATCACTGAGTAGACTCTGAATTTTCTAGAGTTCTGTTTTATTTCTAGGATTATGGAAGAAAATGTGTAGATTAAGTGCGCTAGGACAGTACTAATAAGAGGCTTTTGAAGAGGAAACTGGTCTAGCTGCTGAGCTATAGAAATAATGCAAAGCAACACACTGCCCTTCTGAGAGATGATCCCTAATTTCCTGCTTTAAACCTCTCTCATATTGTGTGTGACAGAGGTTGTTGGCACGACTGAGACCACTTAGGCCAAGTGGTCAGACAGCTGTCCTCTCAAGTGCTAAATTCTGTTAACTCAAGCACTCTGCTCCCTTTACTGCCCTCTTCTTGACAGCTCCAGCAGTTTAGACCTGTCAGAGAGGCCAGAACATGCTATAGCCACCACACTTAAGAAGTAAAAGTCTTTGATGGCAGAAGTGACCAGTAACAGGACCACAGAGCTCAAGTGCTAATTAGGGCAGTAATTTCTTGTTGATTTGAACAGAAAGTTTATTTAAATCTAACGCTGGCTGAGTGTTTCACAGTGTCAGTACTTACTGCTTGTTTTGCCCAACCAGCCTTGTGTCTACTTCTGTATAACTAAAAAGCAGCAGTTAAGTTTTGCATAGCGGATTTATCATCTTTGCCTGCAAAGGAAATGCTTTATGATTTTAAAAAATCATACATTTTGCTTTATTGTGGTGGGGAAATGAGTATTAGTTAAGTTAGCCCCTCAATTGGTATGAATCAATGCAGACCAAGTGATCTACGTTAATTTAAGAAAGCAAATATGCATAATTTTCTGCTTTTGTTCTGCATTCCATCTACCTTTGGCCACAAATCTTTCTTTGAAGAGACATTATTGCATGAGCAGCCAGCATTAATGGCATACTACTTCTCTGTGACTACAGTTTAAACACCCCACTGTAGTCTTTCAAACCATGAGAAGTATTATGAACAAAGAGAATACAATTACTCTAGTTGGAATTCAGCTCTGAAAGCTTGGGCTAACGTTCTGCTGCCTATGAGAACCATGTTATGATCCAGGTTATGTAGTGACTATGTAGTCACTAGAATTTTATGCAAAAAACACCCAAACTCAAGCCCCTTCAATACTGCTCCATCTTCCTCTCTAAAACTGTAGTGAGTTAATGTCCTTAGTTCTTGAACAATTCCTGTAGCACTTGAGATCTTCTTTTTTTCCTGCTGAATAATAACCAGATGCAATGTTTCATCTTTACGAGACCCACTGGAATTTAAATTTGAGATAATACCATTGATTTTTCAGAATAAGATTTCAATATAAAATTCATTAGTAGAAAGTTACTGTCTGCGTTGAGAGTATTATTAAATTACACAAAAACAGGAAACCTATACACATAATTCCAAATTTTGAAATATTTCACAGAATCACAGAATCACAGAACGTTAGGGATTGGAAGGGACCTCAAAAGATCATCTAGTCCAATCCCCCTGCCGGAGATGAGGTTGCACAGGAAGGCGTCCAGGCGGGTTTTGAATGTCTCCAGAGAAGGAGACTCCACAACCTCTCTGGGCAGCCTGTTCCAGTGCTCTGTCACCCTCACTGAGAAGAAGTTTCTTCTCAAATTTAAGTGGAACCTCCTATGCTCCAGCTTGTGCCCATTACCCCTTGTCCTATCATTGTTTGTCACCGAGAAGAGCCTGGCTCCATCCTCGTGACACTCACCCTTTAAATATTTATAAACATGAATGAGGTCTCCCCTCAGTCTCCTCTTCTGCAAACTAAAGAGACCCAGCTCCCTCAGCCTTTCTGCATAAGGGAGATGCTCCACTCCCTTAATCATCTTTGTAGCCCTACGCTGGACTCTCTCCAGCAGTTCCCTGTCCTTCTTGAACTGAGGGGCCCAGAACTGGACACAATATTCCAGATGCGGTCTCACCAGGGCAGAGTAGAGGGGCAGGAGAACCTCTCTCGACCTACTAACCACCCCCCTCCTGATACACCCCAGGATGCCCTTGGCCTTCTTGGCCACAAGGGCACAGTGCTGGCTCATGGTCATCCTGCTGTCCACCAGGACCCCCAGGTCCCTTTCCCCTACACTCTATTTCTTCACTAAATAGAGCATAAGTGAAAGCTGCCAAGCTTTACAAATGAAATTCAGTATTTTTCAGATACAGCAGGCAGCCAAGAATACGCCTGATTTTAAAAAAGGTAACCCTCAACAACATCAAAGCAGCATACTTAAAAGTACATATAATTTAAAAATATGGTGATTGTAGATGCAAGTGAGGCACTTCTTTCCTCAGTAGCTAATTGCATATATGGACATCTCATCTGCAGGAACAGTTGTGATAAATTAAGATATGCCAAATACTATTAGCATGTTTGCAAACCAGATGCTTTTATTAGGGAACAACAGTGATGTGCAACCACCTTTCTGAACTGATTTTATGAGTGAGGTCATTTTAATAATGCTTTTCTCCAGGTGTTTTTACAGTTGCACTTAAAATGTACATTTTAAAATATGTACAGAATTTTTAGTCTACGAATCCGGATTTGGTTTATTTATTAGTAGTAGTGTGACAGTGTAATCAGTAGTGTAACCATTTCTAAGTACATGTACCTTAGAAAAGCAGCAGAGAAATAAGAATGAGCAAATGGCAGGAGAGAATTTCTATCTGATGTAATATGTTCCAATCCAAATACTTGGTTTGTACGAAGACAGAATGGAGCAGCTATGCTTGTTTTCTAAATGTCTGGAGCAGAAGCACAGATACTGGGGAGAGACAGTACTGACAGACTGAGTTCCAGAGCAGTACTGGTCATGCTACAGCAGTCTGAATGTTTGATCTATTCTATCCTTGAAGTTGTCTTACAGAAAATACGAATTTAGCACAGGAAATTGTGAGAAAGCTTACACATGTGTCTTCCCAATTGCATTTCTGAGCAGTACAAATCTAAGAGGAACTGACATGCTGCTGGATGCAGCTTCATACCTGGTGAACTTGTGCCAGCACCACCTCTAGCCTTGCTGATCTTTTAACAAATCCAGTCTTAGTGGTAGTGTACTTAGGTTTTGGAGCTTTAATCTTGAGCTGCGTGACAGAATCTGGGAGCGATGCTTCCAGTTCACACAGTCCTAAGAAATGCAAACAGCAATTAAGTAATGGAGTGGTGGGGAGAGAAATTTGAGTTTGGTTAATATTTTAAATAAATACCTCATACAAACTAAGTCTACCAAAATGCCTTACCTGCAAAGGTGTTAAGATAGGCGCTTTTTACCACGTAGCGTTCAGAATTGTTGTCTGGGAAATAACCAATTCTAGACAAAGGAGCATATGTTTGTGATTCAAAGTCTGTATACTCTTTGATGATATCTCGTCTCTCTAGCTTCCCCATCACATTTTTTCTCTTAGCTATCAGTTTCCTGAGCACTGAAAAGGAAATACAAATGTGAGAAGGTTCTTCATACAAATAGTTCTCAAAAAGTTGTACCTTTGGAAATTCACAAGATCTTTTGCTAGTTAATATAAAAACACAAACTGTTTGACTAGAACAAATGCTGGCCATGCATATCTATATTGTGAATGCAACCTGTTTCATCTTGAATAAAGACTGTAACCTTGTGCAACCTTAGTTTTCTGAAAACTAAGTCTTCTACTGGTGTCTCCCTCTTTCAAACTTACTCAGTGTACAGTCATGCTGAATCTTTTTTATTTTCTCTTCTTTAGCCTTCTGATAACTTTGCCAGTGGTCATCCAAGCGCTTGGGATCCAGCTCATTCTGATTCTCCACTCGCCTCTGCAGCAGCTTCTTTAAAACTTCCAGCCGAACCTCCTGCAATCTGCAAGGAAAGAAAAGGCCAGGTATGACCTACTGTACTCTGCAGCGTTCTCTGCAATGCTGTCAGCATCAAATCCTACATATGGGCAAAGCTGCTTGAAGGTAAAGGGG